ATATTAAAATTGATATAATTTTTTTTTCAAATTTTTATGATATCTTCAAATTTATATTTTATTCAAAAATAAAATCATTATTATTTTCTTTAAAACGCATAAAATCGTATTATAACATCGATAGAGACAAATAATAAAATAGAACATTAAAATCAAGATGTGTCTCGCTGCATTGCGCGAACACTCTTCTAGTGTTTATAAGACCAAACACTTATGTGTCATGTCTAAAAGTATTGTAATGGGTTTATAGGACGGTTTTGAACGTCTTAACAAAAAAAATTATAACAATTTTGATACAAAAGGTCTTATTAACCCTTTTTTATAGGATATTTGTTTTATAAGATACCTTTTCAAATGGTAATAGATTCATTTGTTTCAAAATTGTCCTAAAAATTTTAAAAGACGCCCAAAAGTATCAGATAAAGTTATTACAACCACTGCAAGAAAATTGATTTTATAGGACACCTAAGATGTAAAAACAAAAAAAAAACTTTATAATACATAAGATTATAGGATCATCCCAAAAAATACCATATCTAAAAGTGTTACAATAGGTTTATAGTACAATTTGAAATGTTTTAACAATTTTTAAAACGCTTTTAAAATAAAGTGTCATATTAACTATTTTATAATACACTATTTGAAAAAAGTGTCATAGAGACACAAATGCGCTATAAAAAAATAGGTTTATAGGACATTTCTCAAAAGTGCTATATAAAATAGCTAATAAATTACTTTATTTTAAAAACGTCATAAAAACTTGTTAAATTGCCTAAAAACGTCTTATAAACCTATTGTAACTCTTTTAGATAGAACGTTTTATAGTTTGGTCCTATAAACCTAAGTTTTTGTATATATTATATTATGACGCTTAGATACTTTAGGCATCCTATAAAATAATATTATAGAATTGTCTATTAGGACACACTTAAACATTATTGGTGTCTATAAACTTGATTCTGTTGTAGTGTGCCACACTTGTATTCCTAAAAATTCATGATGGATTTACATTTAGCGTTAATTAACGATTAATGTGTGATCGAAATTGTTTCTTTATACATGGGTATGTACAGATTATTAGCAACGGAAAGTTCAAAAGCCCTAAACATCGGGTAGTGAATAGTAGGCACGAAACTAGAAGAAGTATCGCGATCTTCCTGAACCCGTCTCCTGATTGTGTCATTGAGCCGGCAAAGGTTTTGGTCGACGGATCGGAACCACCACGCTACGAAGCGAATCAATACAAAGACTTTATTGGCCGCAACAAATCATTTGGCGACTACACCGCCACGCTCCTAACACAGTCGGACAATTAAGCACTAGTCGTTAACGGTTTAAATTATAAGTATTGGTGACTTGTGGTTTGACTAGATAATTTTGAGGGTTTATTGTTGATGTTGTTGAAGTCATACCAATAACGTGGTTTTGACTATTTATCGTGTGTGTGTGTTAAATTATAAATGAATACAATGATATTACATTTATGACTCACTTTTTACAGTTAAATAACAAGTGGATCTTATAAAAATTCATATGACAATAGATACATTAACTACAACATTATCGTTTACTTATCAGATAATATTTTAGTCCACCAAAACAAAATCGTATGCAATAATTTAGCCGGTAACTGCTAACTGTAGTAAGAGTTACCGTCATCATTTATCAAGCTAAACTGTTGAAGTAAAACTTCAACTATGCGTACTAGTCGTTGGAGTTGACTATCAATGGCATCAAATCTTCTTTTGGCGATAACTCCCTCAAGAAGGCGTTGGGAGCGGTGCTTTTTACCGTATGTTGTGTGTTGTAGTGTTTTCAAGATAGGTGTATTTTTATAGGCACCCCCTCGTGAAGACGCTATTCTAGATCAAATTGTGGATAAGTCATATTGTTGAGTTTGTCTATGTGTAAGCGAAGTAAAAAAAACGTAAATTTTTTTACGGAATTGAATGAAAAATGTAATTATTTTTATGGATGAGTGTAGAAAATATAAATTTTTTTTTGTCTTTTAGTTAAAATCACGATCGCATCGTAGGTTTTCAAACCTATGAATCTTTTAGTAAACATGGAAGAAAACAAGTAGAAAGTGAAACCACTAAATCGACACGTGTGTTTGACTAGTCTTTTCAATTGAAGTTTTGACTAGGAAAAGTCAAACAAGCAGTTGAAAACCAACAAAAGGAAGTGCAAATCCAATTGGATTCAAAAAGCTTACTGGATTTCTACTGCTATCTCTTCTTTGGTTCCATTTACCTATTTTATCATTTAAATATACTAAAAAGGATATCAGTACAAAATAAAAACATATATCTTGATTTTAATGTTTTATTTTATTTTTTAAGGTTTTGGTAATATTATAATACGAATTTACGTGGTTTTGAACAATCAATAATGTTTTTTAATAAAATATAAATTTGAAAATACCAATATATATATATATATATATATATAATTTACTTGTAATTTTGAATTTTAAGGTAAAATACATCAATAAGCAGTACTTCATGTATAAAATAAGCTTACATATACATCATCAATTGTAAGTATTTATATATAACAAAAAGTTGGAATTTTGTCAAACCCAATTGGGTGCATTTACAGATTTAAAGTAGTTTTATTGGTTTTCCATTAAATCTTATATGAATTAATGTGTGTATATGGCTAAATATTTTTGTAGGGATTGGGAAATTTTCGTTTGAAAGGGTTTTTAATAAATGAAAGAAACACATATTCTAATTGGAAGGGACAGGTTTAGAAAAAAAAACAGTTACTACAGCGTCGTTTATCATATTAGAGATCTTCGATTTTTCTTGAAATAGTTATATGTATATGATAATTAACAAAAACAATTATAGTAAGACGTCGTTTATCACATGTTTATAGGGTTAGCGTTTACTAGTAAGATCCACAAGCATCGGTCTCTTACTTTTCTATGTAAGACCACCCACACAGGGCTTTCATATGAATTGCAATTTGAATTGCAAATACAATTTTGAATGTGATTGCTGCCATGTAGGATTTGGAATTGCAAAATTTGCAATTCCATTTGAAAGCCACGTGGGCACACTTCCTTTCCAATTTCTTTTTGTTTTTTCTAATTATTTAAATAAATTAATTTTTATAATATTAATATATTTA